ATCAAACAATTCGATTCTTAGTGCACATCGAAAAATATCGGTTGTAGCCTTATATTTAATCATTGCCTGAAGCAGCAACTTTCGATATAGATAAATATATAAAGAAGAGCTTTTCCAAAAGCTTACTTAAATCAAAACTATTGCTCATCAAACAGTTCGATTCTTTTTACAAATCGATAGTTATCGATTTAGTGTGTGCATCTTCATAAGTGTGTACATCTTGGAAATAAATAGAGCTATAGCCAAATTGCTCTTCCAATTATATTATATACCATATCCTACAGTTATAATTATAGAAAAATGTCAAAAAATAAAGTTCACCACACATCGATAAGTATCGATTTACAGCCACGATTTTTTTCTAATGGTAACTTTTAAATGAACTGATTCAAAGTTCACCAAGAACTTCGTTGCTGGGAATTTTCGTTGGTATCTTATTAGCCGCCCCTCACTCTCTCCCTCCCTCTATCTATCTCTCCCCGCCTTTAACTCTGACTCGTTCTCGTTTTTCCTGCTTACTTCTTCTTGTTCTTTAACACTCTGCTTAACCCACATTCTGTTGGTTTTACCGAAACGTCGTCGCCCGTCGCTCGTCGCCTATCTCCCGGATCAGTCTAAATGTTTTTATGTAAACACGACCGTCTCCGCCCAGCGTTCCATTCCGCATTCCCCAACTACGACAACAGTGCGCTGTAATTGTGTGCGGCTTTGTTAGCGTTGCAGCTTTTGCACTTTACTTTTGCACTTCCTTCCTAGCGCTTTGTTTTTCGCCCAGCGAGCAGAATAACTGTACAGCGGACACCGTCTCCGGAACAGGGTGAACTGAGCTGTCTGAATGCCTGACTGACGACTCGGCATTGCCCTGCTGTGGCGGTTCCTTGGGGTCGGGGTCGGAGTGGGTCGCTTATTCGTTGCCTTGAATGGCGGACAGCTTTAGCCCGATGCTACTATTCATAGTGTATGTGTGTGTCAGTGTGTGTGTGTGTGTCAGTGTGTGTGTGTGTGTCAGTGTGTGTGTGTTGGTGTGTTGCTGCCTTATACAATGACTTAAGCTGAAATGTCAATTGGTTGCATGGAACAAGGAACAGCTCCGGTCGGGCAACGCGGCCAGAAGCCCACGAAAAACGAAAATGATGAAAATACACCCCAGGGTAAATGGCCAAACGTAACGGCCGGATCCGGACTGGAGGCATTGCCAAAGATATGGCCACACTGCAAAAGTGCTTATGACAGCAACAGAGCCCCCAGCCCAGCCCGCACCCCGCACCCCGCACCACGCACCACGCACAGCCAAATCCTTTCTCCGGCTAATAGAATTCAAACGCATGAAGCCTCTGAATAGGTTCGTTGTCGAAAGGCGACGCATTCAAGTCAAGCAAATGCCCATTTGCTGCTGACATGGAACCGGCTCCAGCTCCAGCTCCAACTCCGGTACTAGCTACAGCATGGCCTGGGGCTGCCAGTGGGTCGGGACTAGGACTGGGACTGGGGCTGGGGTCGGGCGTAAACAGAAAAGTGAAAGTACGTGACATAACGCTGCATTGTGCGTTCCTAGCGCGAGGGCTGCCAAATGAATTTCAATTTCTAAATTCAGACCCAAGCGTGTATTTTAAAATAGCATAAATAATGCAATATATGCAATGCTTGTTTCCTTGGAGTCCAATGAGGAACGACTCTCTCAGCTTTCGTACTGCTTAAATAATAATATACTAACTTAAAACTTACCGATTACTAAACGAGCCAACCTCTGGCTAGATGCCCATTACCTTTAACGCCAAGCCGGCTGGCTGCTTTTTCAAGTCGGCGATGACTTTGACATGCTCAGCTCTGGACCTGGACCTGGACATGAAGCTGAAGCTGGCAGGCGGGGCTTTCGGCTGGCCGTCTATGTCAGGAACGCTGTAGTTTGTTTCGTAAGTTTTTGCAAAAACCATTAACGACGCACCGTGGCTACTTTTTCGGGCCCGGACACTTGGGTTGCTGCCATTTTTTGTTCGGTTTGGGCCGCAGCTTCTTCGCTTAAATTGAAAAGAAACAAAAAAAAACAAACGTGAAAAGCTGTAAACTTTTAAAAGTTTCAATCTTTGTTGGTGCACAGCAGCTACCCCCCCCCCCCCCTCAATCTCCGCCTCCTGAAAAGTTGGCCACTTTGGGGCCGCTGCTCATTTGGTCAGCTTACGTGCGGGGGGGGGGGGGGGGGTGTGCATCGGGTGGAATTAGGTGGTAGCCTTTGTAGATGGCTTGCCCACTTCTTGACGTGACACGGCTCGGGCTGTGCTTCGGCTAATGGCTGCGTAAATGACAAAGTGAATTTTAAGTAAAAAAAAAAACGGCAACAGCAGCACAAATTTATTTATTTTTATATACCACACACACACACATATATATATATTTTAAGCCTAGAGCCGGGTGAACAGGTCACTAATAGCATTATATACCTAATGCCGGGCACGAGCCTGCCGCATTAAATTAAAGCAACGAAATAATTGAACATATTCGAGTTTGCTGCGCACACATTAGCCAAATGGGATCAGATGAATAGAAAGTTTCAAAAAAATAAATATGATTTTTCAGCATCCCATTCAAGTGAATTAATTTTCATAAAATATTCAACGTAAGGCAGAAACTTATTTGAGATATTTCGTATTTTACATATATTCAATATAATACAGCATAAATTGTTTTGTTGCCACGTTTGATAAAAAAACAAGCAAGAGGTTCTAGTCGAGAGCTCCCGACTAGGAAATACCCTGCATTGATGTTTTCGCTAACTGCCCCATCCAATTGCTCAGTTACAAATAACTTTGGTTTTTTCTTAACCGATCTTGATGAAATTTTCTACAGTATATCTTATTGTAGCAAAAAATTATTGTGTACGCTCAAAAAGTCAATTGCATAAGTTGGGCTATTAACTTAATTTATAGCTCTGTGGGGTGGTAGCGAGGAGGTGGCGATAGGTATAAAATCAAAGATACTTGACAAATATATAATATTCTAGAAGCAAAATATGTTTGGTGATATCGATTTTTAACGATTACTTGGAAACGGAGCAAGTTATCGATTAACGGAAACAAAGAATCGATAATCGGAAATATGCGAAGACACTAGGAGCACCTACATCTCTAGCTCTTATAGGTTCTGAGATCCTTGCGTTCATACATACGGACGGACGGACGGACGGACGGCTTCCTTCTGCCTACATTTGGATTTTACACAAATACAATATACCTTTTTTACCCATTTTTAATGGGTTCAGGGTATAATAAACGCTTAAGTTATAGTTAGTTCGACTTTCAATCTAGCAAGCCAAAGTTGTTCGCGATTATTCAATGAAAACCCTAGCTTAGAGTATAGTATAAATATCTTAGACTGCGTTCTTGTGCGAAAAAGTTATACTGTGGGCTTAAACAACAAAAAATAAACGGAAATGAGGACTATCTGCGGCACGCCGAAGATCTATTACCCTTGCAGACCCAACCTTTTCGTAATGCTCACAGGGAAAATAGTTAATGCCGAGTTTGGTCAAGATATCTTGATAAACAGAATCGACCAATCGTTTCTATGGCAGCTATATGATATAGTAGCCCGATCCAGCCGATTCTGACGTATGTACATATGTGCAACATAAAGAAGGACTTTTGCAAAGTTTCATATTGATAGCCTTAAAACTGAGAGACAAGTTTGCATAGAAACAGGCAGACGCACTATCGACTCGGCTGTTGATGCTGATCAAGAATATATATGCTTTATGGGGTCGAAGATGTCTCGTTCTATGCTTTACACATTTCACGATAATATTATAATACCCTCTGCAATGTTATCTTCGATTAAATTAAGAGATTATTCTTTTGCAATAGGAATCAAATAATTTTATATTTCTAACGAGTTCCGGACGTCTGTGCCCAGCTTTTCTCCTTTACATATTTACAATTATTTGTATTCCTATTTATGGGCAATTTCTGATAATGACAACAACTTTGACCCGGCCAGGCGAGGAGCGCCTGGTATAGAAGCCAATGCGCCTGAATAATGCATAAATTAAATAGCCAACTACTTCATTTGGCCCACTTAACGTTCCTAGCCGAGTTGTAGGCCCAGTTGCCAATGCTTGAGAATTAGCATGGGACGCCCACAAGCAATTGTTGGGAAACGTGGGTAACAACGTTTCGGTACGGCCCACTTGGTCTGAGTTCCCACAGCTGTCGGTGGGCGGTCGCTTGATATTAGTGCAAAAAGTAGAAATGACAATAAAATTATGGATTTTGCAAACAATGAAAGCAATGCAAACAGTGCCAACCACTAGAAACACAGTTCCCTGAATATGAAAACTGAAAATGTCCGCGTACCCATCCATAATTTAGACCTGCCGTATAATACAGATAACGAAATTATATACAGCAGTTGATATATTAAAATAAGGTTATTAAATTGATTAGGTTAGGCTACAATTGTCACATCCAAATATCTATACATACTTCCTTATACTATTCATTTCCGAATGAGTTAATTCAAATTATTTTTACATCCTTTGAACCATTGAAAGCAGACAGAAGGAAGCATAAAGTATATATTTTCTAGATCAGCAGATCAGATATCTTGCATATAATAGCTATCAACAGCCCCCCAAAAAGCATGGTTCCTTTTGGAAGTTCAGTTCGGTTCGAAATCGGTTTAACAGCCTCTTATTCTTGTGTGTACAAATTTTTACTCTAAAGCGCCAACGACTTGCAACTCTGCCTCCATCAAAGGTTTGAGAAAATTTATATTACACTTTCTAGGAAAAATATAAATGGAATTTTAATTCAGCTGATAACGAGAAGCAGCCAAAGCTAATAGACTTTCTTCATTGCAATCTATCAACGGTTCAATAAAGTTCACTGCCTCTTGCTTATTTTTATTGACTTCCTGAGCTACTGATAATCGCTTAAGAGGTAGCAAAATATTGTGCACCCGAGCCTCCAACTGGTTGCAGTATTTCAGTCTATTTACGAGCGTGCTGAGTGCAGTTGGGAATCGCGTTTTCATATAAGAATCAAAGTGCTATCAAAATGAAATGTATTGTGTTTAAATATATTCTATTTATAAGCCTAATACTGATCTTAGCTGAAGCAGCAGAGGCTAACGAAAATGAGGTAAAGGTCAGATTATTTATCAATGTCAGTGTGCACTGCAGAAAATAAAGAGTACTTTCTTATAAGTCTTGTGTGGCAGCCAGAAAAGCAGAGGAGGAATGTGGAGAGCACACCTATAAGGCTGTTAGACCATTATTAAAGTATATACATCAGATGAAGACGGAAATTGAAAGCAATAACAATAAAATGGAAGGCAAAGATAGAGAAATCAAGCAATTGCAGGAAAAACTTAACCTACATAATGAACTTATCATCGGGGCACTTAAAGAGCTAACGAAGAATGTTTTATCAATAAAAGAGGAAATGGGTAAACCCACTTCCAATGCCTTGAAAGTCCAGCACCTTGAAGAGCAGCTGGAGAAACAAAAGAAGTCAATCGATCAAAAGGATCAACAAATATCCGAAATCAAAAATGAAATCAACAATTTAACCAAAAAATTAAAAAGCTACGAAGAAAAGCCCGTTTACGGTGGATGCACTCCCTTTGGAGATGCCCCGGGTATTCATAAAATTACTATTAAAGATTCTTTCGATGTACTCTGTGATAGTGCGACAGCAGGTCCTGGCTGGACGGTTATCCAACAGCGAATCAATGGCAAAGAGGACTTCTATAGGGATTGGAAGACATACCGTGCCGGCTTTGGAAACTTTGATGGTGACTTCTTCTTAGGACTGGAGAAAATTCATCGCTTGACGAGTGCCCAGCCCCATGAGCTGTACATACATATGAAAGGATTTGATGGTGTCATCAAATACAGAAGATACGAACAATTCGCTATCGCTGGCGAGGAGGATCAATACAGACTGAGCATCTCTGGTAAGGCTGTGGACAATGAATACGATGAGTTGGGCTTCCACAACAATCAGAAATTCAGCACATTCGATCGTGATAATGATGCCTGGGATGATGGCAACTGCGTAAATAATTATTATGGTGGCTGGTGGTTCACAAACTGTGCATTAAGGTATGAATTGCCGGTAAAAAAAAATGATTGAAATATAAGTGTTTTTTTCTAGCAATTTAAATGGCAAATATCATAATCATGAGATGGACAAAGGGGTTGCCATATATTTGGATGGCTTCGTCTCGTTGAAGAATGTGAAAATTCTTATACGACCCAAGAGCTATTGAAAATTGTAAAAGTTTTATCTAAAAACATATACAATACTTTGAAATATACAATACTTTTCACAAACTCCATTAATCACTTTTATATTAAATCAATCGAATCAGAGGACTTTCTTTTGGTGCTGTATCTATTATTGTACGAATATGCTTTCCTTTTATACCCTGAACCCATTGAAAATGGTTAAGAATGGTATATTGTATTTGTGCCAAATGCAAATGTAATGCAAAACAGGCAGAAGGAAGCATCTCCGACCCCATAAGCTATATATATTCTTGATCTGCATCAATAGCCCAGTCGATCCAGCCATGTCCGTCTGTCCGTATGTCTCAACGCAAGGATCTCAGAACCTATAAGAGCTAGAGACTTGAAATTTTAGATGTAGGTGCTCTTAGTTCCCGCGCAGATCGAGTTTCTTTCCGATAATCGATAACTTACTCCGTTTCGATATCGATATCCTGTTTTTGGACGATTTACCAAACTTGACACATAGCTTCTAGAATAGTATATATATTTGAATTTGGGGTTGGAAGAAGTGGGTTCAGGTTATCCCCCAGACGAAAGTTCCCGACTAGAACATCTTACTTTTTTATTTCCAAGCAGTTCTTATCGATATGAGCTGTTTAAGGTTAAATAGCTGCCGCATTGTTTTTGATTGGAGAGTTAATATCATATGGGATACGAAACATGTTTTCAGCTCAAATGCGCCCAAATATGTGCAGATATGTTTCTTTATGCTAAGGTGCTTGAGCTGCTTGCGTATGGCCAAATATTAAAATAAATTTGTAATTCAGAAAAGCGCGCAATAAATTTCAACACCCGCTCAGAGCAGGATGTGGAAAATATAAATAGGTTGACTCTGAGCTTTGTTGGTTGCGTTTTTCAGTCTTTTAGGGCAGAGTTTGGGCCAGGGGCGGGACTGGGGCTAAGGCTGGGGCGGGGTGGTTTGTGGATGTGTGTGCTTGTCGTTGGCATGGCAAAAGTACTTGAAGAATTACACACAATGCATGCATTATTCATGCTTACTTCAGAATTTGCGTTACAAAGTAAAAAATGTTGTAAGGACACTTCTGCCTAGCCCCGACACTCGCAGGCACACACTCAACGACTGTGTGTGTGTGTGTGTGTGTGTGTGTGTGTGGCAAGGAAAAACACGAATAAGGAAGTGTGAAGGAAAGCCCAGGCAAAAGCAAAGTGCAGAATAGTCGAGCACAAAATGAATGCATTACAAACCGCTGATAGATTAGACTTTTGGCTTGGTGGACTACACCCATCCCCTCTCCCGCCCCCCCCCCCTTCCACCCACACCGCTGAAATGCAAATTGCCGCACAACAAATGTACATAATCATGTCAAATGTCAGCTGAGACGAATGCAAGAGGGAAAACAACCTGGCGAGACTGGGAGACTGGGAGACTGGGAGACCAAGCAATCCAGGGCCCAGCCAGCTGGCATTTCAATTGGCTCCGCGTCGCCTTGAAAATTGTGGTAAAATTGATGAGACCATCAAATATTGACAATCGCATATCTAATTCGGTCTGGTCGGAACACTTGACGGGCCGCGCGCATAAATCAACATCAGCTCGAATATCAAGGACTTTTGTCTTTCGATCCTGATGTGGCATAAATTCAGCTAGCCCAAGGGATACCCAAGACAACTGCACTTATCGAGCTGGTCCTTCCTTTCGGCCAAGGACACTTGATGTGGCTTTCGTTTTTCTCAACTTGGATGTAAGCCAAACGTTTTTCAAGTCGTTCCCAATTAGTCGGAGATTTTAATTGTCAGATATGCTGATATAATATATCTTATTATGCGCATTCTTGTTCCCGCTCGGAATATCCCCTCTTGATATGGATACACGCTCAGGATACGATTGGATATTCTTTCAATTAAACTATCGCACAGAGCATCTGTTTCAAGAAAACACGCCTCTCACTTGGACTTAAAATATTATTGTCATATTTCCGCTTAAGAATATTTTTATATTTATTAACTAAAATAGAAAATAAATAACATTGAATTGAAGTACTTAGTCAATTTACATTGAGCCACATTTAACATCTTTTACCGTGCCAACTTTTTCTCATTCATTTCAACATCTCTGAGAGATGTACCTGTTCCACACTATTCCGTCAAATATTTAGCCGATCGTTTTTGGTTAAACCCTAACTCTGAAAATGTAAGCAAACGTTTAATTAAAAAAATAAGTCATAGCCTGATTCCACTGTCTTCACATATCTTACACATTTTTGAAAATCTCACATTTTTGCAAAATGTATAAAATGTGGTCTATACGAATTCCTATACATTCCTCACAATTTTTCAAAAATGTGACATTTTCAAGAAATACGAAAATCGATTTATCGAATTACGTATCGATGTTATCGAAAATATGGAAGTTCCATTACTATAAACAACTGATATAGCAAACGAAGGCAAGCCGTAACTTCAGATTATCATTTTAAATTTTCATAATCTTACAGTATTTAACATTTAAAAGTTGGCCAAATGCCGCACAGAGTCCATTAAATGGAGCCCCCATTTGACTTTTGAAAGGAAATCTTCTCAAAGCAAACCGTTCAGCCGTTTGTTTAAAGAAGCGGACTTGCCAATGGAACACCAATATGTGAAATTTGAAAATGTGACATTTCTTAAGCATAATGTAATAAGGCTATAAGTATTGAGAGTAATATCATGAATTTCTCTATTTATTTAATATATATTTATTTTTTTTTTGTAGAAGGAAAGAACACTTTAAAATCACATACATAACTTTAATACCACATACATAACATGTCAGAGCAGGTGAAGCAATAAATAAATGCATCTACATGAGCTAAATAAAGATTGACCAAATGTTGGGTGCGTTTAATCATAGTGTTTAATTATTTAGTTGATATGCGAGCTATTGATGGAGTTTTCTCGAAATGCAAATAATTAATATTATTAAGATTTATATTCAAATCAAAAATAGACATTGTGCCATTAAATATGCAATTGTAGTCAATTAACTTTTTAGGTTTATATTTTTGCAGCAGTTTCACATCTTCAATAAATTTAATATCATATCTTAAGATTTAAACGATCTATATATCGATAAAGCAATAGGCGAATTATGTATCGATATAAACAAGCGAGCATCGATATTTGCAGCCTTGAACTTTGCATAATTTTGTGGACCTGGCAAGTCAAAGTTGCGACAATACATTAATTATTGTGTAAATACTGTGAATAATGTAAATACCAAAAATAAGCCATTGTTATAAAATACCAGATATAAGCCAATGTCATAAAATACCATAAGTCTATCGATTTGATGAGTACATATCGATGCCCATGGCATCGGAGAAAGGGACTTTGCAGTCGAGATCTTAGTTCGAATATCGAAAAATAAAGATTAACTATACAAATAATGAAGTGTGTAATCAAATCTAAAAGAACAGAGTTTTACAATTGTATATCTGTATATATTACATAGAGAGTTTTCTTATTTTTATCGGAAAAAGTCTTTCGAACTGTTTCTGGGCCCATGAATTGATGGATTCAGGCTGTCGCGTTCAATGTTCAGCCTTTCGCAATACAATTTCAAAATAAACAAATCGAATCGCCAAGTCAACAAAACGCGGGCAAATGGGGCAAAAGCTGAACCACAAAAGGCGTGGACAACAGTCAATAGGCGGATTACACGGCGTCCTGCTTAGTTTGCTTTGATGGATTTACAATTCGCCCGCTCGCCTCTGCTCGTCCAGTGTCAATCCGCGTTGTACTCTTGACAGGCTTTGCTCTCCTTTCAAAATACCAAATTCAATGTAATCGCTCTCGTAATTGCAAGCATTCAAGTATACTTTGCTTGGAATTAAGATACCCAACTATATCACGATGGTCAAGCATTTTCTTTTGATTATGACAGTTCTTCAGAATTGAACTAGCGAATTGTGGCAAAAGGTGGCGCTTTAATAGCCTAATTCCACGGTCAACATTTCTTACATTTGTGCCGAATGTTACAGTTTTTCCGTATGTGAAGTATGCAGCCTGTGATTTATCGAATTTTGTATCGATATAAGGAAAAATAGATCGATCGCAGAATGTGAAGTTTGTAAATGTAACAAATGTTGAGCATAGTGGAATCAGGCTATAACATACCAAAGAATCGTTGCTTTACGCCGACTTTGCAGGAACTAATCGATATCTTCGAGAATGACAAATAAGAAGAGGTTAAGAAGCCGCACTTACTTAGCTTAAAATCGAACTAACATTTGGAAGGTCGCCAGTTCAAATTCAGTCAAAATTCTTATTATTTGTTCGTTAAAACTTGAATTTTTTAACATTTTTCATTTGCATAACATAAAGTCTAAACGAAAGCAAAAGATTTCTTCGCACAAAATCCTTTTGACGAGCAACTGAATTTCGCCTTACACATCTTCAGGGCGTATCTTCAAATAATGCCATGGTTTTTTAATGGAACAACAACATTTCAAGCTGTAGAGGTCTACACATTGAGCCAAAAAGCTGAAGATTACCGCAAAGTTGCCTTTGCTAAACTGGGATCAAAGTAGACCTAGTAAATCCCATATATGCGATGAACGGGATCTCCAAAGTGGAAATCGCTCTAAAAACTTTCACTTCCAGCTAAGATGCAGAAAATTGATGATTTAAACAAACAAAAACTGACTCGAATGTTGATTTATTTGAAAATATTCCAAGCAATAGATGTGTTTACAGCGCGTATTACCCGGCCTTGCGCGGATTTTGCGAGTTGTCTTACGAAAGATCTGAAACCGAAAACGAACATAATTGAACCTGAATTGTAGGTCCTATCGAACCGCACACACGCGCCCAGCAGCATCATCATCAGCAGCATCATCATCATCAACAACTTCTTTGGCTTCGCATTTCCACAAAAGGCAAAACTCTTACTACATCATAAACTAGAAACATGTGGGCAAATGGGGCTGGGTTTTAGTGGTCATGTGGGTGGAGTGGAAATTATGTTGATAACCTCGCATGATCCTGACATTAGAGCTGCTCACCCTACCCCTCGCATCCTCTCCTCCTGCTGCTGCTGCTGCTGCTGCGGTTGCCGGGGCCCTGGAGATGGAAATGTGCACGTACTGCCTTAAGTATATTTAAGCATATGGAGAGAATCAAGTGAAAATCAATAAAAACCAAACACGTCTACACAAATCACATGAAAATCGATGTGAAGCCAGTTGAAGGGGATGTCGGAGAAGTCGGCAGCGGAAAGGGGGGAGGGGGGGGGGGGGGCAACATCTATTCGAATGTAACCGAAACTTAAAGGATTGCTCACAATGTTGTTGTTGTTGTTGTTGTTGTTGTTATTTTATTGGTAAAACGTGCAACGCATTATAAAGTAACCAACAAGCGAGCCAAAAAACAACTCTTGCCGAATATTAAATACCCTGCTATTTTTTTGTGGTCAATCGATAATCAAGAAAATACCTAACTTATCGCTACAATAATTTGAGCTCTATATAAGATGGACTTCTAGTAACAATTTGATATACTAATGATATTTTTTTTCAAATTTTCTAATTTATTTCGACTCTTGATTTTTCCTAGAATTTAACAGCACACAAATTATTTATATAGCCAAAGATCCAAAGATTTTACAGAATCAAAAAACAGAAAACATTCAAATTTTATGTTTTTTTTACCGCAACGGTAAATTCGCTTGCCGTTCTCTTTTGGGCGATCCCGTTAGACTTAGGATTTAAAATTTGCATCAATACGATAGTTTATACGATAGTTTCGATTGTTGGAGTGCAACAATTGGCTGGTTCTGTTATACGATATATGTTATACGATAAATCATCGCAAAAAACACGAGCTACTCGGAATGAATGCCAACATCTTAAGGAAAAACGTACACGCTACATACTTTACATTCGCAAGAAATGTGTCAGAAATGTTGATAGTGGAATTAGGCTCATAAACGAGACTCTAACTCAACTTTCATCTAGATATCAAATGCAATATTTCTAGATTTTGCTATCGAATAGATTTGCACGAATATGCGACTAAAAAAGCCAGCTCACAGACTGGATGACAAAGTCCCTATGCCCCCACTTAGGGTATACATAAGAGAGAACAGAGAAGAAAAGAGAAAAAAAAAAACACATCCGCGTTGGGGCTTTTCACAGAAGCGCATTAAGTGGTCTATTCGCTGGGCTCGTTGAATCGTATCCTTCCCTAGCTTCTGCTGATTATGGCCATGAGTTAGCCAGCGACTAGCTGCACACACACACACACACAGACACACACACACATACATGTGTACATACATGTACGTGTAGGCACCTTCGGTGCGTTTGCTTGCCTGGAATTTTGATTTGGGGCAGGAAAGGATTGGCCCCAAAGCTTAAGTGCCTTGGCATGAACAACAATCGAAGCTTTTAGCGGAATTTACTTCTTTGATGTTTCGCCATTTTGGAAGTGCTCAGTGCTCAGTGCTCAGTTCTCAAGAACTGAGAACTTTTGCATTTGAAATGCTTCGAGTTAGCAATGTGAAAGAAACAAAACCTATCGATAAGTGATGCGACACTTCGATATGCTACGATTTAGCTATGTGAAGAAAATAAAAACGATCGATATCTGATAAGAAATATCGATATGCGTCGAATTGGATATGCGAAAGAAACTATCGATATCTGATGCGACATATCGTTATGCTACGATTTAGCAATGTAAGAGAAACAAAAACTATCGACAGCTGATGCGACATATCGATATGCTACGATTTAGCTATGTGAAGAAAATAAAAACGATCGATCGCTAATAGGAAATATCGATATGCTACGATTTAGCTATGTGAAAGCAACAATAACTATCGATATCTGATGCGAAATATCGATATGCTACAATTTAGCTATGTGAAAGAAACCAAAACTATCGATAGCTGATGTGACATATCAATATGCTACGATTTAGATATGCGAAAAAAATCTATCGATAGCTGATGCGACATATCAATATGCTTCGATTTAGCTGTGCGAAAGAAAACTATCGATAGCTGATAAACACATATCGATAGCTGAGGCAGAATTTGGCTTTCATATTAATATCGATCGAGATGCATAGTGTGTTCGTCTGATTAGAATTTTGCAAAAACTTTTCGATATCAGCTTGAATATAATATTTGTTGCCTAATTAATTTTTGTAGTTTCCAATGATAATACAAATTAAAATAAATTGACAAATAACGCTGCGATAGAGGAACAAATATACTCCAGTTGGAACTCCCTTAGAATATGCTGCGCTGTATTAGAAACGAACTGTCCAACTGGACGTGGCGTGTTCCAATTGGAACTATTGGAACTATTCCAGTCTCTTACTGGAATGCCTTGTTTCCAGCTTTGATTTTAGTTTAAGGAAAATCTTGTTTGTAAATTTAAAAAAAAAAACTTTTAATATTATTGTGAACAATTTTGAACAAAAATAATCTCAAAATTTATGGAATATGCTGACAAACCATTAAAAGTGGATTTTAATCTTTGCCTCTGCTCCTGTTTTTTTTTAATGCTGCTGTCAGGAATTTCCATAGTTTTTTTTTTGTTACGCTAGAAGAAGAAGACAAAAGAAAAACTGGAAAAATAGAGAAAATGCTGCGCGGCTCAGTAACTCTGAAGCTGTCGCTGTTTTTTTTTTTTCTAACAATTCATCTTAATACAAAAATAAAAAATGGCGCCAATGGACAGTTATTCCCCCCCCCCCCTCATCTGCTGCCCGCTGCCTTGGCTATTTGTCACAGCTTCGTTGGCTGCGGCTGCGGCTGCAGCGTTCTATGTGCCACAAAAGTTCTGCCACAAAAACTTGCCGTTCTTTATTTTGTGTTGTGCGTGTGTGTGTGTGTGTGTGTGTGTGTGTGTGCGGGGTGTGAGTGGATTTACACATGTCAGTTAATGCTGAAAAAATGTTTACACAACACAATTGCCACGTCGTGGCGTAGGCGGGTGGGGCAGGGGGGGGGGGGCGTATGGGTGTGGCGCCCAGCATGTGGCCACACAGATGGCAAAGTTTTAAAGGCCAGCCCATCCGCGTCCACGCCCCCTTACTGTTGCAGCAAACGTCGATGCGGATAAAAGTCGGCCGCATATAATTAATCAAATACATGAACAATACGGATTTAACCTAAATAGGAGTGTCCTGTCACAGGACAACAATAACAATAACAAGTTGATATTAACGGTATACAATATCTTGTTAAACATGTTGAACATTAACTGCCACAACAACAACAACAACAACAAAATGGAGTAAAAACTCAATTGACTCAATTGGATTGCCATACGCACATCTAGATACTCATAAATACTCAAATGGGCAACGCTCTTAGCGCATAAAATGCGCTCAATGCCAAGCGCTGCTCTTGAGTTGCGTACGCATATGGCGAACTCTTAAGCTTAAGAGCGTTCGATTTTAAGAGCACTTTGAGTGTAGTTGATTGCTCTTTGAGTGCAAAAACGAGCAGCACAACAACAGCTGATGCTGCCGCTTGCCAACATATGTTTGCCGCACAAAAGGGGCACAGCTGTCGCAAAGCACTCAATCGCTCGCTCTCGCTCTCGCTTTCGCTCTCACGCTTGCGCTTGCGCATTTTACAGTAAATGACAATTCACGGCCAAGGGGAAAAGTCACTCACTCGTTAGCAGCAGCAGCAGCAGCAGCAGCAGCGGCAGCAGCGCAGCAGCAGCGCTGCCGTGCCGGAAAATTGCTATAAAAGCAGACACGCTTACCGCCGGCCGGATAGTAGCTTTGGAAAACTGCTCCGCCACAGAAGTTGCCGCCCAAGCTCTCCTCTCTGCCGTCAGCCGTGTGTCGTTCAGCTGCCACACAACGTTTTGTAGCTGTTGTTGTAGTTGTTGTTGCAAGCTTCGTTCAGCTGGCAGCACAGCTCTCACACACACACACACACACGCACGCACGCACACAGCTGCAAGCACAGCTGTGAGCAGTTGACTTGACTTGAGTTGAGTTGCGTTGCGTTGAGTTGAGTTGGGAGCAGCAAGCAGAGCGACTCAATTGCTGCCAGCAGAGGGCGCCCGTCCGCAGAGAGCCCTCGACGGTTGTCGCAGTCGAATCCAACGTTCAGTCAAGCAGCGGCCGCCGCACGCAACACAACAGCTCCACTCGACACGCACGGAGACGGAACGACGCAAGCAGCAGCAGCAGCAGCAGTAGCCAACACATGCATAGACACACAAATGCATATGTGTGTGTGTGTGTGTGTGTGTGTTTATAGAACTCCTTTTTGGGCAACAAACAAAATAATATTAACAAAAACAACTCAACTTTCAAGTGCTGTGCGTTAATTACAAAGAGAACGAACGAAAGAAAGAAAGAGAGAGAGAGGGAGAGCGAGTGCGAGTGCGAGGCGGCAGTTTTCGGCTTTTTTAGAATGTATTAAAATTTAAATGTTTAACTAGAATAACAAATTTAGTTGTTGATACTTTTTGCAATTATTTGTTAAACGAGCAAGAGCGAGAAAGCGAGAGAGAGAGAGAGAAAGAGAGAGCAGAAGTAGAAGACAAGAGACCATAGCTTCAGTCAGAAAATTGTGTGCCGTAAAACAACGTGAATCGCAAATAATAAAATAATAAATTGCTAAATAAAATAATATATATATATATATATATATATATATATACAAAACACACACAAATACATACACACAAAAATCAAATCAAATTCTTGTGATTAAAGTGCATTTCTAATACATACATATATATACATAGATATACATATATATACACATACACTCACTCACACACACACACTCACACACGCATATGTATATGTATTTAACTATACGCATCGAACAAATAACAACAACAACAACAACCGCTAAGAAATCGCAGTCGAAAGCTTGAATGCTGCCCAAACAAAATCCAATTGGAGCCAACGGCAACGAGTGAGAAATTCTTATCAGACTATGAAGATGGAAGTGCTCTCGGTACAATGTCACATTCAGGAACAATTCGGCGGCATTGGTGCAACAAAAGTAAAAGGTGAGTAGTTGTGTCCTTTTCCTCAAACTCAAAATGTTTTGCCAAAAAGTGAAAAAGTTGAAGTTTGCGTTCAAATTGTTCAGCATAAAAAAACAAAGAGTCGAAACTCTGCTCAAAGAAGTTCAGGCAAGCCAATGTTAGGCAATGTTGCGAAATGCATACGAAATTTATATACATTTTTGAACAGTAAAAAATAATTCAAACCAAGATATTCTTGAATTTATCCAGCATGAAATTCATTTCAAGATTTTTCCGCTCTGTTTTTATAAAAAGTGAACCCTGAGCGGAAATTCAATGTTTCAATTTTTACAATTTTATTTCGTTTTTTATGTAGAAAAGTTTCAAAACTTTTGCAAGTTCTCTTTTGTGTTCTTTTCTATATACAATTCTATATATTGCCAATAAATTAAACAATTAAATAAATATTTAGCTAAAAGTGTAAAAATATTTAAGAAAAAGTATAAAATGTTGTCATAAACCTAAATCTCTTAACTTGAGCAAATGCAAAAAAGTTTGCCGATTATCACGGAATTTCGTAGATAAAACATTTTTTGTTACCCATTGAAATAGTCATTCATTAAAAAATGTGCTTATTTTTTATTGAGAAACATTAAAAACAAAATTTTTACTATTCTTTTTTCAAGTTTATGCCCCTTTTTTTTTTTAGATTCAATTCAATTTGAAAACATTTTATTTGATGTTTTCAACTAATTTCTTAGACATTTAATTTTAAAGTTCAAAAGTAATTTTTTTTCGGTTTTCTTTTTATTTTTATTTTTTTGAGGTCGTTCTGTACATTTTCAAGAACTAAAATTATTCCTATCTCGGTTGGGCTTATCTCAGGGTTTTCGAGATCCGGAACCTGTTGGAACCGGTTCATAATTACGGGGCATGCCAGAATATGTGCATAGTCATGCCTGAATGCATGGGTATATGCATATAACGGGACTTGTGTGTATTTTCTTTTTATTTGGGGTTGAAATTATACGAAAATTTGTTACATGCATTTTTGTGCATAGTCCAAGGGGAGAGGGGGGCAAGCATATCCTGTTCCCGAGTCTGACGTGCGGATTATGCAACATCCTGTTAATCCCTGTCACTTAAAACTTGGCTAAGGCAAACTCCGACTCCAACTCCGACTCCGACTTCGACTCCTGCAAATTAGACACGAACACGAACCCAGCTGGGCAACTGGGGACATGTAAACCAGCCGAAAATTCACAAATGCACCCAGCTGGAGAGAGAGAGGGAGAGAGAGAGAGGGGGGAGAGGCTTTATGTTGACGGCGACATGCAACGACATGTCGTCACACACACACACACATGCCCATACAAATACAAATGCAAAAACATGCACATGCACACCTTACCGAATGGCAGACCTGAAAGCTGCACGGCAACAGCTCAGGCTGTCTCCTTCGCACTCGTTCTTTCGCAGTAATGTGTGTGTGTGTGTGTGTGTATTTGCAGTCAATTTAATTTCATGACTGACTGGGCGCATGCAATTTTCTTTTCGAAGGACACACACACACACACACATACACATACATACGAATGTAATTAGTCATGCATATTCATATGCTATTCAATCTGGGGAATCTAGAAACTGAATAATGTTGTTAAATAAATGACTTAATTTCCTGCAAATAAACATTATGTCCATGTCACACCCCCCCCCCCCTCGCCTGGTTTAGTTCAGCTTGGGTTCAGATGTTTCGATAAAAAAAAAACCCATTCAACGAGCTTAAAATACTGTTCTCGCCGACTATGTCCTGATCATAACATGGCTATGTTATTTACATTTGATCGAATGTTATCGATAATTTTAATCCTAAATATTGCACAGTCACACTTTCAAGCTGTAGAAAATGCTAAGGCCTTTCTTCAACACTCACAAAATTCGATTCAACTTTTTTTTTGGTATTTTAAAGTTAATTCGAGAGATTTCCTGCATCCAGCATATGGTCACACTGATCTGTAGTACAGATTCTGTCAGTGTTTGATAAAAGCGCGTACCGTACGTATGTACTAATACTAGTACATACTGCCTGTATGTGTGTTAAACTTTAATTTGAGTGTTTCACAATTGTGTTTTGATTGAACTTTCAATGAGGATTCATCGCGTGGTTAAAGTATTCATTCCAAGGTATCAATCCCAATCAAATGCCTATCCATTTATCTAAAACTCCAACTCAAGGCCACACACGATGCGAGAGAACACGCACACGCTCACGCACACGCACACGCATGATGCAATTCAAGCACAAGCATAAGCCTCCCTTATCTAGTGCAGTTGGCAAGATAAATTGAATGCTTGCCTCTGTCTGAGCGCAGGCTTTACAATAACAACAATAAGTGCAAAGAAGCTTTAACATTCGCCGCAGGTAGCTGCAGACATGTGAATGTGTGTGTGTGTGTGTGTGCGCGCGTGTGTTTTAAAGAGCGAGTGGCAATAAGAGATATACAACAATTGTATGCACACACACACACATACATACATGCATATGTGTATGCGTATATAAAAATACAGCCTGGTGCTGTTGCTAGGCTGTTTTTGTTACTGTGTTTCTTGCTGTTGTTATTGCCGATTTTGAATGCATAAAACAGACGGCCGCAAATGTCGCGTGATGTGTGCCCGCAGTCATGAAGACGACACGATGAAGTGGGGGAGACGTTGTGTGGGTCTCATCGAAATCAATGTGCATGCTTGTTGTATGTGTGTGTGCGTGCGTATGTAATTAAATGTGTATGCGGTCGTTTGTCTGTTTCCTTTTCGCTTTCGCTTTTGATTTTACATTGTAAAGTTTATACAAACCCTCTTCATGCAGCACGCGTTTGTGTGTGTGTGTGTGTGTGCATACATTCATTTGTGACAAACGCAGCGAAAGGCATAAACACAGAAAGAGAACCGCAAACATGTGCCGTTAATTTCTTAATTACGCGGCTGCTCATAAAGAGAGCAAACGAGATAGCAATATCCCATTCAGTCAAGTGCAATGGAATGGGCACTGCGGCATACATATACATACATATGTATGTATGTATGCATGCCGTATGTGTGGGCAGAGGGAAGGCTAGGCTGAAAGAGTTGCAGCGCTAATTACATGACATCGTTGAGCCAAGCCAAGTGGTTAATTTGTGCATATTACAAAGCATGGGACAACAGTAAGATATTTAACTGTTTTTATTTACATGCTACGGGCATCTGAAACAAAACGCACTCCAACAAGCGCACATACAGTGGTAGAAAACTGAAAGTTGAGAGCTGAAAATGCAACCGCAGAAGCAAATGCTCGGTATTAAGAGGAAAAGAAAACATTTGTTCATATCACATTTGTTATTGGCCAAATAATGTACACACTTTTATGTTAGACACAAATGTTTAATGTTCAAATCCGCAGTTTTGCCCACTGTACGGCTGCTGTGCTCAGCTTAGCTTTTGTATTTGTATGCTTGAGTATTAAAATAACAGCAAAAATAAAAATAAAACTGTGCAGAGAAGACACATAAAGCATGGTAGGCGAAGTGTGTGGAGCGGGAGGGGGGCAGCAATTGCATGGCAAGGCAAAGGCAAAGCCCAAAAGAAACTGCTGACTAACGAACGAGCGAACAAAACGGATGGAGACGGACGCGCAATCGTCAGCTGGAAACGATGAGGCCTCTGGCTCATAATGTGAAGGTGGCAAGGGGGGGAAGCGCAACGAGCTTCACACACACACACACACAAACATATTACCTAATGATGGCTGTGCTTAAGCGAACGGCTGATTTTCCAGCTGTTGTTGCCAGGTGATTTCAGTCGACCCCTTCCCGCCCGCGCCCTGGAAGCGTTGAGTGTGTTGACGAGCCTGCGCACAGTGCCTGAGTGCAATTGCGAGCTTGCGCAAGCTCTTCGCATGTGTGTGTGTGTGTGTGTGTGTGAGAGAGAGAGAGTGTACGAATGAGAATGGAAATTATTGCAAGGCTTTTGCCGGTGGCAACGCAGACATCAGCTGTTTTTTTTTTTGTTTTTTTTTTTTTTTTTCGTGTCTGCTTTATTTTTTGTGGTTTCGTTTCATCTTTGTCGTCGTTTGCATTTCGCCGGTCGATGTTTTTGTGACTAAACTTGTGCGCTTTTCTTCCATATCCTTGTGTATTGCAGACTGGACGAGTCCGCTAACGGCACCAGCAACTGCAACGGCAGCGGCAGCCGCAGAGGTGAACGTGGCTGACGTGGACATTGTCGACGTGGACGTGGACGTGGAAGCTGATGTTGTGGATGGCCATCCGGCGTCAGTGCTGCATATGCGTCAGCATCAGGCGCTCAACACGCGGCCGCGCCTCTCCTCAACAGCCTCGGCCACAGCGCCGCCGACGGCCGCCAAGCCGCCCGCATCCCCCATGGCGGCCAGCTTTGATATGCTCAACGGCGGCAGCGCTGTCGCCGCATATATGTCGAACGTTTTGCAGGCAGGTCCGCCGCCCACGCTGCCTGCGTCGCCGCTGCAGTCGACGTCGGCGGCACGCTTCGGCGCCATTGACAATCTGGACGATGTGAATCCGGCGGCCGTGCAGGAGCTTTCGCAGCAGCTGCAGGCCAAGCTGCGCGACGCCAAGAGCCAGCATCTCGACTGCACCGAGGTCACGCTGCCCAACAATCTGATGTCGCGCATTGCCGCCGAAATAATACGCATGTCGGAGCGGGAGCCGTGCGGCGAGCGGGCCTGCACCATATTCATAGAGTTCGAGAGCGAGCCGAACAACGTCAGGTAAGAGAGAGAGAGGATCAGCAGTGGCAGCTTACGCTCTCGCTCTCTTTAAGAGAAAACTTTATTGTTGTTGTTGTTGTTGTTCGTCTGCAGGCGCATTGCTTCGTTCAAGGTGGATCCGGAGACGGTCTCCATATTCGAGCTTTATCTGACGCTGAAGCAGGACAAGAGCGGCTGGACCTCCCTTCTGCCGCAGTTTCTCAAGTAAGCGCACGGAAAAGCTTTCACAGCAACTGTTAACTTACTCCCTCTCTCTGTCTCTCTCTTCGCTCTCTCTTGCAGAAATTTAACACGCAGCAATACGATTATGATCAGTCCCGATTTTACTTTGACCAAGAACAAGCTCTACTCGCCGAGCAGAGGCAGCATCATATGAGGCTAATGGGAGGGCGTGGTACACTTGGCCGTGGGCGTGGGCGTGCAAAAGGGGCGTGGCGATGCACTCGACTCATTACACAATCCCTCCGAATAAGTAAATGGTGAACAAGAACATGAAGAAGAAGAACAGCAGCAGAGCCTAGCAAGAAAAACCTCACGTCTGCGTCTCCATCGAAACCCATCCAAAAAAAAACAACAAAAAAACAAACAAAATATTTAAATAATATTATTAACAAAAACAACCCATAAAGAGGCAAACTTTGGACCACAATTCAACACAACCCCAAACAACTCAACAAAAAAGAACAAGAACCAGAGGAGAAGGAGGAGTAGGAGCAGGAGCAGGATTAAAAACAAACCCAACCACAATTATGTATTTTGAGAACGAAAAAACAAAAACAAAAAAATCCTAAAACAAATCAACTGCAGTTGCAGGCAACTCAAAACTCTTATTGGACTGACTTTTTGGCTTATAAGAAAAAAGAAAAAAAAAAGAGGAACTTTTTGAAAAAAAAAAAAAACCAAAATCAAACGAAAACAATACACAAAATATTGCAAATATTGTTAAAAAACAAAAAAACAAAAACAAAATAACGGTTGTCGATTTACCGTTTTTAAACACAAAAGCAAAAAGGCAAAAACAAAACCTACCCAAATTGTAAGAGAAAAGAGAGTATTAATCGTATAAGCTATGTATGAGAGTATGTGTGTATCAGCTGAGCGAGAGAGCGAGAGAGAGCAAATACAAATTTCTATATAGTAGTTGATCACATATATATATATATATATATATGGAATATGTATGTATGTTTTTCTTCACGATCTTATTAGGCTATAAAAACTCTATATGAAATATATATATACATGCATATATATATATATATTTAAGAGAAGTTGAGCAGACGAAGAAGAAGAGGCAGAGCAGAAGAAGAAGCGGAAGCAGCTGCAAACAAAATAAAATAATAAAAAAACAAAGTTGATGTGATATTATATAATAATTATAAATATTGAAACACAAATACACACACACACACTCACACACATACTTAAAAGAAAAGAAAAGAATAATTTGAGATTTAAATTTGATTTGTTTTGAATTAAAAACAACTTTAAACCCAACTAAGTTCAACTAAACTTTACACAAAATTAAATTAAATTAAATTCTTTATTTTTTTCCTTCTTCTTTTCTTTTCATTCTTTATTTAAACATTTTTCTTGTGCAGAGTTCCAAACTCTAGCTCTAAATACAATATATATATATATAAATTCACATGTATATGAAATATTTATAATATTTGATGTGTTTCTAGCTTAAGATTTTAATATTAAAAAAAAAAACAACAACAACAAACAAAAAGCAGAGAATTCAATGTGTGTAGCTGTGTATTTAACTGTAGTTTAGTTTATTAAACAATTACAAAAATGACAGAAAAACTAAAAATTGGCTAAAAAAAAAAAAAAAAAATATATATATATATATATGCTTAATAATATATATATATATATATATATATATATATCTCTGTGTGTGTGTGTGTGTGTGTGTACAGTGGGGCAGCTAAATGTATTTGTGCGTAAAATTTAAAAAAAAACAAAAATCAACAAAAAATTTGAAAAGAACTAAAAATTAAATTGCGCAAAAAAAATGAAAATATGAAGCAAATGTTTGGAAAATCTATAAAGTCATCTGTGTTAATAAATTTTAAAATAATTTATAAAGTAGCGTAAAAGAAAAAAAAAACAAATTAAAAAAAAAATTAATAATTAACAAATTCTAAAAAAACAAATTAAACAACTTTTGTAGCTGCAAAAAAAAAAAACAAAATAAAAAAAACTTTTCAAAGTATTTGACAAATTTAAGCTAAATTACATTTAAATAATTTACAGACACACACACACACGTGCAAAAACAGAATTTATTTATACTTCAAAATAAACCCCCCTCCCCCCACACAATAAAAAGATCTCGTTTAAAATTTTGTAAATTTTTCTTGCAGAAATGTTAAATAATTTTGAAAACTATTAAAAATAATAAACAATTTTTTTTTGTAAATTAACATTTTTTAAAAATTAAAAAAACCTGGAAAAAATTTAAATAATTTTTAAACTGTATTCAAAATAATTTGATTTAAATTTTTACACAATTTTTTTATTTGGTTTTTTAACAAACAAAGAAAATATCGTGTTTAAAAATAATTATATTTTTTTTTAAGAATATTTCAACTTTCTGCAAGAATATTTTAAGCAAAAAAAAAAAACAAATTTGCATTTTCTTAAAAAAAAAAACTCAAACAAATGTAAATAGAGCAGCAAAAAGTTAAAAAAAATAATGTATTAAAAAAAGGTAAAAAGTTATAAACAATGTGAACATAAAAACTATGCAAGCAAGTGAAAAAAATAGAACCATGAATGTGATCTATTTAATAAAAAAAAAAAAAACAGAAACAAAAACAAAAAACAAAAACAAATAGAAAAAAAAAAAAAAATAAGCAGTTGACAATTTTGGGTTTCTTATTTTTTTTCCTTTTTTTGGTTAAATAAAATGTAAAACTTTTAATTTGTAGAACTTAAAATATAATTTGCAAATTAAAGAATTTGTTTTATTTGTGCTTGAAGAAAGAAAAAGATGAAAAAACGTAGAACGCAACGCTTTAAATAGTTAAGCAATTCGTTGTTTGTTTATAACAAAAGGCGCTTCTCATTTGAATAAAAAAATTTTGATTTCTCGTTCTCCAAATTGGATGCGTGTGAAATGTATTAAAAAACATGAATCTCAGACACGTCCAGTGCTCCTCAAAGTATTTGTAAACAATAATGATATACGTTTAAATAAAACTAGTTATAAATCTATATATATATATATGTGTATGTGTGTGTGTGTGCGTGTAGAACTTTTACATAATACCTTAAATTTATAAAAAAAAATAAAACGTAGTGCATGCATGTGCGTGTGTGTGTGTGTGTGTGCGTCTAACGGGAACCAATTAATTAACAAAAAAAGAAAACTCGAAATTAACAACAAATTAATCAACAATAATCAATCAATTAGCAAACGCCTCAAGTAAATCGAACAAAATATATATTTAAAAAATAAAAAAAAAATCATATTTCTAGTGAATTCTTCTAAATGTAAACGAAAAAAAAAACACATAATTTATGTACTAACAAATATTTAGAGCAGAGCACATCAAATAATTAAAAAGAAAATCGAAAAAGTGTCCTACTTTTCCCCACCCCCGTCTCCCTCCCTCCCCACACACACCTTTATAAGATTTTCAAATAATTCAAAAAAGAAAAAAATATGTATTTAAGCGATTATCCCACCTTTCGATTTAATACAGAAAATGCATAATTTATTAATTAAACAATTTGTTTTTTTTTTTTTTCTCTGTCACGACCGTTTTTTCTCAGTGTATTGTCATTTTTGTTATCAGTTGTAAAAAAAAGAATATATATATATGAACTAAATGTTGTAAATCGAGTAGCTACACATACACACACACATATATATGTACACATATATATATATATATATATATATATATATATGTGTGTGTGTGTGTGCGTGTGAGTAAATAATGTTTAACAATTTCCATATATTATATCTAAATAATAAAAAGAAAGCGAGACAAAAAGTTGAATACAAATACAATATTATTTATATATACAATATATATATATATATGTATATATATAAACAACAACAACAAATTTAAACTTTAGTAGCGCTTAACAAATTCTAGCAATTTAACAAATTTTAATTAATCAAAATATGAAATATATACATACATACACATATATATATATGTGTGTGTGTGTGTGTAAGAAACAAACAGCAATTTCATTTTTCTCTGTGTAAAAGTTGAGTAAAAAATAAAAAACTACAAAAAAAATATAAACAAATTTTTTTAATTTGAAAATTGCGCATTTTAGAGCTTTCAAATTGAGCTAAAAGCTGTGCTAAAAGCTTAGGCCTGTGTGTCTCCGCTAACATGCCAAGAGCGCTACTTGCTGTGGTTTGTGTCCAAGTTAAGCGCACGCTTTGTGTCTCGCTGTTAGCACAGACTCACACCCCAGCTGCGCTGCAACCAATAGCAGCTGGGCTCTCACGCGCACTGCTCTCCGAGCTCTTCGCCAATCGGCTGACAGCAAACGACGCGCTCAAAGTTCGTCGCGCAGCGTCGGCTTCGCCTTTCTGCTCTTGCGCAGCCTTCGTCGTCACTCGTCGTACGTTGCTTGGCGCCTGCGGACGCGTTATCGCTGCGCTGCTTCTGTGTTAACTGTTTACTGTTACGACGCGCGCGCGTGTCTTGTGTTTTGTGTTCGTTGTCCTATTGCATTTTCCAGCACTAAACAATTGAAAACAAGCTGAGCTTTATGTGAAAATAATATGCTAGTTCTATGTTAGGTAGGTGCACGTGTGTGTGTGTGTGTGTGTGTTTGTGTGCAATTGTGATATGTATAACAGATAAACTGCCCTTGCCCTGCCGAAATGTCAACGTTATCTCAGAAATCTAGTCTTTTGTTAAGTCTCCTGTTGCGGCATTTTCTTTGAGCCTCGACTAATGACTCTGCCTGCGCACGTGTGTGTGTGTGTGTGTGTGTGTGTGTGTGTGTGTGTGTGGATACCAATAAATGAGCAGAGATCGTCTATCTGCAGGAACTGGGCGCGGCCAGGCCAGAGCAGGACTCTCAGCTCCAATTAGTCAACCTAATAACTGTGTAATTGACAATGTCGCCCACGAGATAAGCTTCTTCTTCTTCTTCTTCTTGCCTCTCATAAACAATGCAATTGTCTAATTATAAACGAAGCCCAAAGATTACACAGATTATGCCACAAATTCATGCTCGATATGTTGCAATTGGCATTGCTTTCGATGAATACCAGTGGAAATTACCCGGCATTGCACGGCCTCAAATAAATGAATGCCCCAAATGCAATTGCTAATGAAATTATTTGAATTATTTGCAACAACTTTAAGCCGAATTTTCGTCTGAGCGAAACTACCCGGCATTGTCCGGCCTAAATGTTTAATGTGTCGAATGCAATTGATAAAGAAATTTCTTGATTTATTTGCATCGAAAGCCGCGCTTGTTGTCAACACGTGAGTTGGAACCCTAGTCTCACTGAAATTACCCGGCATTGCCCGACCTAATATGCTTAATGTGCCAGTTGTTAATCAAATTCACGCGAATTTGATGCCCACTTTTTGCTTTTAATTTTATAAGTACAGAAAAGAGATACATATTGTACATAATCTAGGTTAAAGAACCCCTTTTCCTAATTTTCAATATCTTTCCTATACGAATCTTAACCGACTTCTCAAGGCTTTCCTCGCCGTTTTTCAACACTTATTCTCATTCCTCACTCAAAGTCCTTTGGCAAAACTTGTGCCTATCTTTAGCCTTAATATGATTCATATGCAAACAATTCGTGGAATCGGCCAGGGCCAGAACTGTGCTGGTGGCCCCTTTGGGCCAGACCCAGGTGCAGATGCAGTGCAGCGATAGAAACGCAGAAGTCAATTTGGACTGTGGCCAGGTCTTTCAACCGAGTTGAGTTTTTTTTTTTGGTTTTCTGCAATATGAAGCGCCAAAGTATTGGTCAAGTCTTGGGCCGCGGCTTTAGCCAGAATCGGATCGTTTAACCTTCTGCTTTGACTTGTTTTTTTTTTTTTTTTTTTTCTGTCTTTTTGCTGACTGGCGCCAGCTGATCCCCCCTGGAGGTGACCCTGCGCTTGTCATGAGTCATTTTTGGTGTCGTTGTTTTTGGCTAAAAGTGTTTGGGCAATTGGATTCCAATTCGCAACGTATCAATTTGCAATTGAATTTTCGCAGTTGTTCCCGCTTCTATTTCGTGTCGCATTCAGCACGTGCCCTTAACCCTTTGGGTGGCGGCATGGAGCCCAACTCAGAACTGGGAGCTGATGTGGAGGAGTCGCCGCCGGCTCAGGCCACGCAAATCACCTCAATCGATGGTTTCTTCAATCGCAAACGCGGCAGACCGCCAAAGAATCGCTTCGTGGAAGTCTATAAGAGCGTAAGTAAGAAACCTTAACTAAACTCACATAAAACTCAATTAATATCTGAACGAACCTACGATTAGGAATAGTAATAAAAGGCTTAAATTTGTGATTGTAGTTTGTAGAGCATGTGTGCGTTTGTGTGCGTGTGTCTGTCGTAATTGTATTAGTGAGCTTTTGAAAGCTTGCCGGCGCGCGTTAAGGCAAAAAGCTGCTGCAGCTAATACGTGAGTTGTGTGTGTGTGTGTAAAAGCAGCTTTTAATTTGAGTTGAAAATCAATGTTGATTGTTTAAACAAATCTTAATCATTATGCATGAATGATAGAAGTTAATTGCAAGCTTTTAGAAGTTCTTATAAGAAAGTTTCATATATTCTTGTCAAGTGCAAAACTTTTCATGTTCAAGTTTATAATAATAGGCATTTTATTTTATCATGTTTATTCGGAAGTTAGACGAAAATGTTTTCTACATATTAACTTACGAATTTATCAGTTAATTTTAATAATTATTTTACTTAAAAATTTGATTTGAGCAGACCATTTTTTGCGCTTTACAGAAATTCTCATTTTTCTAATTTGATTAAAAAAATATACTTTTTGAGTATTTTTCTAAAATCATTTTAGTTTCACGCACGTTTTTAATACTGGGAGAAATAAAATAAAGAAATTTTTGAAATGGTTTTTCTATGCTTTGATTTTGTGATAGGGCCCCAAAGAATGGATTTATCGAAAGTATTTTCTATATAATAATTCTTAGGAAAATAGTTTTGAACAACATTTTTGCGATTGAAAAGTTAAGTGATTTTTCATACTTAAATTTTTTTTTTTTTATTATCTGACATAATTATTCTTAAACATATTCTATTTATTTTTCTCATTTATTTATTATTATTTATTTACTTGACGCAAAATTTACTCAAAACTTGTTTTACATAATTTGTATCAAATAATATAAATATGGTTTTTTTCTTTTATTTTCAACATTTTCCAGAGCATTTATTAAATTACTTTGCTTTGCCTGCATTTTGGAAACTTTCATTTTCCTATGTCCTATTCTCTTTATAGTCAAATGATAAGATTGCGCAAATTTAAGAGAAATATTTTACTTACCGTTATTTACTCAATCTTCAAAAGCGCCTTCGCTCATGCGAATATTCACTAGAATGAATTCGTTAAAAGGACACAACGAAAAAAAAACCAAAAAAACAAAAAAATAAAGCACCGCAATTTGGCTTGCATTCACCATCTTTTCTCTCTCTCTCTCTCGCTCTTCTTTCTATACCTTTATAAGATGTATGTATGTAAATGCATGTACATACAGTACACACACATACATACATATGTATATATAGGCAGCTTGGCGTACGCCAACTAAATTCTTAATTTTTCGGAAATATAAAACTTACACTGGACTACACACACAACACTTCACTGCACTACACACACTACACTGCACTACACACACTATACACACTTTGCACACACTTGTACAAGTATTTAATAAGCATTCTTTTCGGCGCCAAAAGCAAACAAAAATCGGCGCAACAAAAAAACTGCAGCTCTTCCGACGTCGTCAGCTGACAGGAAACGATTTCCAACTGATTTGTCATTTTCGGCATCGCCGCCCGTCTCTCCTACAATTTCAATTTCGAACTTCGAAGATACCGTAACAATTCGAAGCGACAATATCAAACGTTTAAAGGCGCGAGCAAGTGTTCGAAATACACTCTTAAGGTTTTTGTTGGAAATGTCGAAAAACATTTTTTGTTCTCAATTCTTTACTTATGTGTGTATGTATGTATTTAGCTTACATTATCGTATCAATAGCATATATTCTTTAAATGTTATAACTTAATATTTGATTATGAAAGTATTCTTTGAATTTGTTGCGATCGTTCGATAACATTTTGACGCCTGCCGCTGTTTGTTCCTTTTCGGTTTGTCTACGACGCACACAAACATGCACACTTGCACATGCACACACACACACACACACACACACACGCACGCACACTGGCGCATTGATTGTAATTAGGAATTTGCGCCTATTTGCGTGCTGCGACGCGTCGCGTCGCGTCGCGTCGCGATGGATTTCCAGAGGCCCGCGTCGTTGGGGCCTAATGTGGCATTTTATGTGCCGTGTGTTGAATTGAGTTTTCGGATTTGGTTTTTGCCATATTCGTCATATTAATATTGACAACGAGTGTTTCCGCATTTATTTCACTTGCCCGTCTGTCGCACACCCCCCCACAACTTGTCGACCTGCACCGCCCATCCCTAGCGCGTCGAACGTTTTGTGCTTTTAACTGTCATTTTCATAATTTCTACATTTTTGAGCCCAGTTTGTCGGCACATGCACACGCAAGTGCGTGCGTGTGTGTGTGTGTGTGAGTGAGTGAGTGTGTGTGTGAGTGTATGTGTGCCTACGATTACACAGCCCACGCGTCAGCCTCTTGGCCAGAGACTTTGCCCGGGCGGACGGGGGCAGGTACATACAATTGTACTTGGCTTTGTGAATTGTGTGCGTGTGTGTGTTTTGTCTGTGTGAATCGAATAATTTGAATAAATATTTTGTCCATTGCCTTTTGCGGCATTCTCTCTTTTATTTTATTATTATTTTGTTTGCTTTTTTTTTGGGAAATAAGCCAGAGTCGAATGAGAGCTTTAGACCTACATTCGGAAGGTACGTGAAAATAGTTCGGATCCACTCCAGTAATCCAGAAATTGAAGTTAAGTTTGGCAGGTAGGTTTTTTGGTTAATTGGTAATATTACTCTCTCTCTCTCTCTCTTTCTCTTACACGCCCTCGCTCTCAGCTGATTATTGCCTTTCTATGCGATTTTCATGAATTCAAGTTAGGCTCGTGGAGAGAAAGATAGGAATGCAAAGCTAGAATTTGTGCGCGCGAGAGAGAGGGTCTCCAATTTTAAATTTTAATAGATGCAAGGCTTACAGACTACACAAATAATAGACTTTTTGGTTAATGGTTAATATTAAGCTTTCTCTCTCTTACACGCCTCTCGCTCTCAGCTGCGTATTGCCTTTCTATGCGATTTTCATGAATTCAAGTTGGGTTTGTAGAGAGGAAGATGAAGATGCAAAGCTAGAATTTGTCTCCAATTTAAAACTTGAACGGATGCAAGGCTTACTGAGTAAACAACTACAGCTGCTCAATATTGAAATGCAATTGTAAATTATTGAATTACTCTGATGGCGACCCTCGGTGACCGCCATCGACAATCGAATATGACGATTAAACGGAACGAAACAACAACAACTACAATAACTTCTATATATTGTATTTAATCATATAAGGTGTGTGTACTTATATGAATGGGTCTATAAGCGGGGTGTGTGTGCGTGTGTGACAACTTATCAGCTAAAGCCAAACACGTTTCATTGTCTTTTTCAATCTTTTGGAGTAATTATTAATTATGGATGCCCTCATATTTATACTCTACATGCTCTGGCAGTTACAGAATGCCCAAATTGTTGGGGATATGTGATAAAGGGCAAATTTTGGCATTTCTCAAAAACTTTTTCGAGCTATCATTGAATATTTTGCACCTTTGTCGACTTTTAAAAAACTTTCATTCGACCATTTCTGGTTTGAGTTAGGGTATTCAGACGTTGGCATTACAAAATCTGATTTCGAATATATTTTTGTGGTTTCTCTTTTTTTGTTGTATTTGGTTTTTATTTTATTATTTTTGATTATTATTATTGATTTTGATGCGTGTACAAAATTTAAATAGTGACATTTTGGGCCAACAATAAACATTAACAGTAATTTCGGAAATAATAAACGGGTTGCGACTGTTTGTCATAAATCCGAAACTAACGTCAACTACCCAAAGAAATTCAAAGAAGGTGGCCAGAACAGATTAATAATAAGGTAGCTTTTTTCTGGCAATATAATCCCCCAAAACAATAAATGTTTGCCATGATCTCATTATTTTATGGAGCTGCCCAACAACCTTTGAACTTGGCTTTATTTTTAGAAATTATTCCTAAATAATAATAAAGTATATATATTCTTGATCAGCATCAATAGCCGCGTCAATTTATAGATATAGAGACTTGAAATTTTAGCTGTAGCTGCTCCTAGTTTGTTTCCGATAGTCGATAACTTACTCCGTTTCCGAGCAATCGATAAAAATCGAATATTCCGTAATGCAATAAAGTTTCATCAAGATCGCTTAAGAAACACAGATGTTATTCTTGCTCGCCTCGAGTAGCAAGCGCATATAGCAGGAATTCTATCAATAGCATTGCGATTGCGATTGAACTGTTTTCTGTGCTGCTATTTTAATTCGTTGTTTTCTCATTAAGATTTAATTGTTGGCTTGGCTGTTGTTTAGGGGCGGCGGCAATTGGAGCGTTCTGTTGCGAGTTCGAACTCTGTCAAGAGAACTTCCTTTTTTTTATTTGTCTTTATTTTTACAAACTGCATTTGGTGTTGGACGACTAGAAACTCTTACTTGTTTGTTAAATGTTATACAATTGATAAATGTTATAAGATCGATTATTTTTTGCATGCCCTGGCAGGCTCAGCTTTCGCCACAAGCCATTTTCACCAGTTTCAAGCTGGAGAAAAATGATCAGGCCTGCGGCCTAACAGCATCCACTTCCGATGTCGCCGAGGAGCGCCTCGCATCCCTGCGCCCTGTTGCCGGCGCCGGTGAACCGAGTGCCACCGATCTCACACCTAGTCGCAGCAGCAGGAAGAGAGCACGCGCCTGGACTGTGGACCCGCACAGGAGTCTAGCGAGTGTGCGCAGCCCGAGTCCGGGCGTTGAAAAGACAACAAACTCCTTGTCGAGGGATCTGCCCGCGAGTCGCTCCCCAGTTCAGGTGAGGATCACGGCAATGAATAACATGCAGAAACAGCTGAGGGAATAGCAAGTGTGCCACCAAGAAAGAGCTTTTTTCTAGATTATTAACTGACGGTTCCAATAACAGCTATATGATCTTATATGATGAGAGTCTTGGGGTTTCAGTTCGTTTAGGATATCTTGTTAAAAAGAAAGAATCGACGGAATCGGACAACTATATCATTTAGCTTCTATAGGAACAATCCATCCAAAATTAGTTTTCCTATGAAAACTTTTTCGTTTTTCAAGATATCTTAACCAAAAATAAATTAATTTTAATTAGCTACTTATATATCAACAAATAATATCAAATTGGTTTTCTTTATAAATATACGAAATATTATCCATAGGAACGATCGGTCGAAAATTAAGTTTTTCCATAAATATTATTATAATCCATTGAATATCTGTTCAATATCAGACTACTATAACATATAGCTGCCATAGGAACGATCGGTCGAAGAATAAGATTTTCTATAGAAAACTAATTTGTTTTTCAAGATATTTCGACCGTATTGGACATTTATTCGTTTCATTATGCTCCTCATTTATGAAAAGTCTTATCAACATCGCACATCATTTAGTTAACTGAATGTTCACAAATTAGTTTCTTGTATGAACAACTTTTTGTGTTTTTTTAAATATCCTTCCAAAGTCTTAATCTAACATCCCTTTATACCCTGAACCCATTAAAAATGGATATATTTTATTTGTGCAAAATCTAATTGTATGTAATAGGCAGAAGGAAGCATCTCCGACCCCATAAACTATATATATTCTTGATCAGCATCAATAGTCGAGTCGATCTAGCCATGTCCTTCCGTCCGTCAAGGATCTTAGAGCCTATAAGAGCTAGAGACTGATGTAGGTGCCCCTAGTCAGATCGAGTTTGTTTACGATATTCGATAACTTATTCCGTTTCCAAGCAATCGATAAAAATCGATATCGATATCCTGTTTTTTGGGCAATTTTGGTAAATAATAAGAGCTAGAGTCACCAAACTAGAGTCACAAGCTTCTAAAATAGAATATATATATCCATTTGATGTTAAAAGAAGAGGGTTCAGGGTATCCCCTAGTCGGGAGCTGCCGACTGGAACCTCTTACTTGTTATTATTTGGAGGCAAGGGTATTTAATGTGCGGCTTGATTGCTTTGTTAATCCTAGAGTTCTTTGATTTCAGCTAATGTTCAGCGCGCCTGGCACACAGATTCCCGCATCCAGCAAGCGCCAGGAGCGAGTTTCCGGTACGTAAACCCCATATATATATATACATATATATATATATATGAATGCTGATTTATATGATCATTGTGGAATTGTTGCTTCAAGTTGTGCGAGCAGCGGGCACCTTCTATCCGGAGAACGCAAGCTCAGCCCAAACAGATACCACGCCCTCCACGTACTGCCCGCCAGGCAGCGTAGACTGCAGCACGGAGCAGCCGGAAGATCTGAGCATGCGCGCCAGCCAAACGACGGCGGCAAGTGAGGCACGCGCGGAGCCGGAGTCGGGTCTAAAGCTGCAAATGCAGTTTAAGCAGCTGCTGGATTTATACCAGCGCCAGGTGCTGCTGCCCAGTTTTCTGGCCGCGGCCAGCCAGCCAGCCGGGCTGGACATGCGTCTGCTGCTGGAGAATGCCGCACAGCAGAAGATGCTGCTGATCAATGCGGCCGCAGCGGGCGCTGTCGCTGCTGCAGCAGCAGCTGCCGCTGCGGCGGCGGCAACAGCCGGAGCGCCAGGCACAAGCACAGCGGAGGAGTCTGCGCCCGCGCCCGCGACCGCGCCTAATCCAACTCCGACGGCTGGACGGCAAGCGGCTGGCAAGCGGGCGCGGGAACAGGACATACCCACGGGCTACCTCAAGTTCCGTTTCAACGAGGACTGCGGCTTCGAGCGCTGCGGCTATCGGAATCATCAGTCGCATTTCCACTGCAATCGGCGGGATTGCCACTACAGTTTCTGCGACAAGACGCGCTTCGTGCAGCATACGGCGCGCCACGAGCGCATGGACACCCTCATGGGCGATGACTTTCGCCAATATCGCGCCAACATGCGCTGCGGTGTGCCTGATTGTACTTATGCCACGCCCACCAGCACACCGGCCACACCCACGCCGACAACGACGACAGGTAGGTGCGCAGCTTTTGTTGGCGTCCCTTGACCAGGCTCCTAATATACATATATGCCTTCTGGCTCGTTTTAGAGGAGAGTCCCGCTCCAAAGAAATCGTCGCATTTCCATTGCCGTAAATGCGATTACGTGTGCACCGACTCCAACAAGGTGGTGGCCCATCGTCGCCTGCATCTGCGGCTGGAGTACGTGCGTTCGGCTGGCTTCCGCAAGTACGCCAGCAACGAGTCCTGCGAGTCGACCGCCTGCAGCTATGCGCTGCGGCACACCCACTACCATTGCACCACCTGTGACTGCAGCGTGCTCTCCCGCGCCCAGCTGGGCTCGCACAGGCATCGGATCAACCAGCCGCCAGCCGCCAGCCAAGCCGGCTCTGGACTGCATCTGGATCTGGAGACGTAGTCTAGAGCTACGTGCTAAACAGCAATAGAAGCCATATAAATCCAAATGCAATGTGTAAATTAGATGAAATTAAATGTAGCTAAGTGCCAATTCATATTTTTTATGTGTATTGGAATCGATAAGTTGTCGAAATCGATAAGTTATCGAAATCGATTAGTTATCGAAATCGCTAAGTTATCGAAATTGATAAGTTATCGAAATCGACGAGTTATCGAAATGGATCAGTTATTGAACTCGATAAGTTATCTGAATCGATGTGTTATCGAAATCGATAAGTTATCGAAAGCGATGAGTTATGTAAATCTATCATTGATATCGATATTAGATAAAAACTCAGCTTTCGAACGATTCTTGTTATAATACTGAGCTCCGATGTTGATAGAATATTTAGCAAGCATATTGCCTCATAGCAATTCGGCACGATTCCATAGTTGATGGGATTCCAGATGGGATTCCTTGAGACGCGGCTGATCAATCGAGCTGTAGAAGAGCACCGACAGAAGAAATGATATATATATATTTGAAATAAAATTTGTTGTGGTTTTCTTATTATCAAAGGATCAATATGAAATGTTGTAGAAGCCATGCCTTGAATCCTTGTCCATTTGTGAATGAGCAATAATAAACATCCATGTGCTCGTTGAGCATAAAAATGGCCTTAGAATGTGTGAATAGACAACGAGATTGCTTTTAATTTTCCATTCAAAATGTTCTTAATATGAGAATATGAATTGTTGACAATTGTTAAACTCAACTCGTACGCCATAAGGATATATATTTCGATCGAATGCAGCTGCAAACAAATTTAAACATGTTTTTTAAAATTGCATTTATTTAGACATACATCTGTAATGTGTGTGTGTATATTCATATATATCTATGGTGTATTTGTTTTATTTTGCCTCCGATTGCATATTGCCACTGGCCGAACTTACAGAACTAATAAGAAACGGAATACATGGGTTGGCGGGCCGATAAGGTATTTCTATATAAATATCTATAAAGCTCGGAGCTGTACAAAAGGCAAAACTGATAAAAAAATTTATGTTCGGTTGGGGTAGAGGAGGGGCGGGAGCGGGAGCGGGAGCGGGAGACATACAAAAAATACTTGTAAACTGTACTGGGCGTGGCGTGGGGCAACTGGAATGCATAAGACTTAAGTGAGGCGCCCTTTAACGACCGTTCCAGTAGCCGACGCGTCCATTCTCAAAGGCCAGATTGATGCGCGGATGCGGTAGGGCCCTGGCCGGTTGCAGTGGCTCGTGCAGCTGGGCTGGCGTCGACGGATCATCCTCAAAGTAGAGGCACTGACGCACAAACTCGAGGAACAGCTGCTGGGCCTGCTGGGCGCAAGCGGGCAGCGCCTGCAGATTGGCATCGCTGCTGAGCTGGCGCACCAGTTGCTCGCAGATGCGCGTATTTGTGTCCACATCGAAGAGCGGCACACCAAAGTTAACGTCCAGCAGCGTCCACTCCTCGGTGCTGGGCTCCGGCTCAGCAGACGCATCGCCAATGGGCAGCTCGACGGAGCTCTGGGAGAGCAGCTCGGCGCGACTGCAGCTGTTGCTTATGTCGCTGCATTTGGCCAGCTCGCTGGCCAGCAGCTGGTTGCAGTCCGCCGAGGTGTAGTCATTTGCTGGGCCGTGCTCCGGCGTTCTTGCAAAATGATTCTCGTCGGGACTCTTCAGCTGAAAGCTGGTCAGCTGATCGTTTGGCACATTTGACTTGGTGGCGGCGGGCAAGGACGTGCGTTTGCGCTGCGGCAGCTTCAGCTTTACCTGCAGCTCATACTCGTCGCAGCCCAGATCGGGCACGCCCGTATTCAGGAATGTTATGTAGCCGCATTGCTGGCGCAGATCCAAATGTGTGGCCAGCTTTTGCACGGCACGATGCGTGCTCCATTTGGCCTGGCCAGCATCCGAGGCCTGGAATGGAAATGATTCATAGTGCAGCTGGCCAGCGGTGCTTATGCCATAGCCCTGCAGCAGGACGCATCCGTTCTTCAGCTGCTCGTTCAGGTTGCGAAAGTTCTCCGTGTTGAGCACATATGCGTCCGAATGGAGTATGTTCACCAGCAGCTTGCCATAGCCCAAAAAGAGACGTGGCAGCGACTTGAGCACAGTGCCGCGGCACAACAGCAAGCTGGGCGGCCCATAGCCTGGCAATGATTTGCAACAATATAGTTTCAATTAGTCTAGGTAGGAGGAGGAGGAGGAGGAGGAGGCAGGCTACTCACCCGTGATATGATTGTAGAATAGCTTGCTCCACATCGGCAACGCATCGGAGCTGCGCACAAACTGGCCAAAGAACGGAATGTTGAACATGTGACTCAATGTGGCCGTCAGTGGCGTTGCCGAGACGATGAACTTGTACTTCTTGTCGAGCACACGGTCGCGCGTCTGCCAGTCGAGCCCCTCCAGGCACTCCAGTCGCAGCAGATCGAGTCCGCCGGGCAGCAACGGACGCAGCGAACAGATGGTGGAGCGCAATATAACTGCGTGCGCAAAATAGCGAGAGACATCGCCCTCGCCCTCGGCATCCAGCAGCGAGACCTGCTCCAGTTCGGCCAGAAAGCTGTCGAGACTCTCCTCGCACAGTTTGCCCACCTCGAACATGGTGACGGCATGATTCTTCAGGCCCGGCGACAGATTGCCCATCATCAGGAATGCTGTAAGTGTTGAGTCAAATAAGAAGCCGACACGCTTGCCACTCTTGGCGGCTGCGGATGTGACTGCGGCTGTGGATGCGGCTGATGTTGCCTTTGTGGTGGTCGTGCGCTCGCTAACATCCTCCAGTTCGGAGCTAAGCTCCTGCTCATCGCTGTTGTTGCCGTTGTGCGCGGCTGCTGGAGGCGTCACCATGTTGGCAAAACTAAAGTCGCTGGTATTGCCATCCGAAGACAGATAGCCAATGGAGCTGCTATCCTTGTCCTTGTCCTTGTCCTTGTCCTTGTCTTTCTCCTGCTTTGGCGTCTTGGGACTCGATTGCGGCTGCTCAAAGTCAAAGCTGCTGCTGGCATACACATTGTAGTTGAGCGGCGTAATCTGCGGCGTTTGGGGCAGCTGCTGCTCATTGTAGGTTGCCCAGCTAGCGTGATACTGTTGAGTCTCGTGCTCCGTATGCTTGCGCTGGGCGAAGCCGAGACGGCATATAAAGCTGACCGCCTGCTTGACGCCATCCAGCTCCAGTTGCAGCATTTGCGCCAGCTCCGCAATGCTCATGTGCTCATCGGCACTCACGAATATCTTGTACAGCAAATTCTCAAAATAATCGCCACTGACGCGATTCATGACAAAGTTACGTAACGGCGGTATACAAATGCGATCCTCGCCGCTAATGGGCACATCCAGATAGATGAGACCCTTGCGATAGAGGCTCTGCACCACCTGATAGTCACATTTGCCCGTTGGCTGGGCGCCAAAGTCAATGAGATCGTCCAGCAGGCTGCGCTCAGCGGGCGTCACCATACGTATATCCGTCTCCAGCACATAGCCAATGTCCAGACGCCACCAGGGCTCGATGTGCACATGCACCGGCAGGCGCGGCAAAAAGTCCAACGGATTGGGTTTGGCACTAAATAGGAGCGTGCGCGGCGTATGGGTCTTCAGTTCGCTAATCAGCGCCAGATATTCGTTGCGTCCAATGCCAAGGACACGCAGGCAATCCGCTGCCGTAAAATTTGGCAGCGTATCGTAGCTCTTGTCGTTGCGCAGCAGCTGGCTGAGCACGTCCAGATAATAGTTAAAGGGCGTAACGCGCAATCCCTTGGTGACAATGTCCGCCAGATGGTAGGGAAAGACGCCCAGGCTGTTGATGTTCTTTTGGACGAGCAGCTCATAGTAGCGCTGCTCCTGCCGGAACACCTTCGATGCCAGATTGCCGCGGAAGCGCAGCTGATTCTTCAGGCTATAGTTGAAGACGTACTTCTCGTAGTCGCGCTGATTGTTGTGCAGCACCGAGCGCAGATGCACCGGCAGCTCCTGCCATGGCACATTCCCACGCACGCACAGCTGCAGCTGCAACTGGCAGTTGCCAGTCTCCGTCGACGTCATCTCGTTCCGTTCCGTTGCAGTTGTTGTTTGTTTACCTGTCGCCGTGCTCAATTTAGTTGTTGTTGCTGTTGCCTTTTGCTGCTATTGGCCATTGCATATGTTGTTTGTATTTTTTGCTGACGAATGTTTATTTTCTTTTTTGGTTTCGCTGCTGCGCTCGTTACGTTTTGTCGTTCTTATTCTATTTTGGCAGGCAAATGAGACACAGCTGATAAAAACCGTCGTCGTCTGAGGGTTGGCGCTCGTTATCCAGCACTGGTTGAAAAAAATACTGCACACTTAGAGAAATACTGCAGCAACATTTACGTTCCACATGCGACTGCATGAGGTAAACCTTTCTTTAGATTGCCAATTCACTGATTGACTGATTGACAATGTGTACTTAAACTAGACGATTTTGAAATGTGTTTTTTAATTTTAGTATCTAATGAGATTTGAAAATAAATTCAAATTGGAACGATTTGTTAATTATTTCGCTTAATTGTTTTTGTATATATAAACAGTTGCGTGCGCTCACACAAGAAAATAGGCAGAATACGGAATATGACGACTTTCTCAATAAATAATTAAAATTATTATACAATATGCATGCAAAATTATTCGAAACTCAATGTGCAGCAAAACAAAGCGCGCTTAAGCGATAGTTAGTTAAAGGCGTTTCACAACACTTATTATGGGCATTTGCGAACATTAGCAACACTCACTGTTGATGATTTTCAATATTAAAGGCACTCTGCTTTGCCTTGGCTGCGTTTTTCTAAACAAAACCTCTGTTCAAAATATCAAAACGAATAAATTTTTGTTAGCCCTAGTTGAAAAATTGTGCAAACGTTGTGTGAATTACAAGTGCCATGCTGTAGATGTTGACAGACGGATGTAGTGCAATAACAAGAAGAACAGCAACAATAAAGCACACTTGCACGAAAAGGGACATCGACATCGATTTTTTTGCACCCTTTTTCTTTTCTTTTTGGTGCACATTTTGCGTAGCAAATTAGCACACAAAGAAACGCGCGACAAGTGTCGCCTTGCCAAGGAAGCACG